GGCGTTACAGGTCACTGTACAGTAAGACAACCAGGCACAGGGACACTTTCTTCCCTCAGGCCATCACTCTGATGAACACTTAACCCACGACAGTATGATTAGACAATAACCCTCAGTGCAATATCTGTGTATATATACATTGTACAGATTAGACAGACTCTTATAGGTCTCTAGTACTCTGTTTTAAGTACTCTATTTTTATCCCTAATTATCTCATTTCAATGAACATTCCTTTGTTGTCTGCATTGTTTACTGTCTGTTTATACTGCTTATTCTGCATTATTTGCACTGGATGTCAATGTTAATACTGCTATTTTGTTATATTGCACAGCCATATGCTGGTCTACTGTTTGCACATTGAGAGCCGATGTACCTGAGTCATATTCCTCGTGTGTCCAACACACCTGGCCAATAAGCTGATTCTGATTCTGATATGAGATATCATAGCATACACTAACATTTGTTCATATAAAGCAGATACAGCCAAGGCTTCTGGCACAACTTCACCCAGTGTCAAGGTGCCAAGACACAAAAAACAAAAACAAACTGAAAAGCAAAAAGACTGGCAACACTTACATTCTTTTATTTTTGAAATAAGGTTGTTTGGAACACTCCAAGTGCTGCCAGACTTTTTGCCTTTCTATAAAGTAAAGTCAGTGTCACTTACACTGTACTACTGACTGCCATCACTATGGCCTTTTTTAGGAACACTATCTTCCAGACAGGCATCTTATTTTAGTTTATTGGTAACACATTGTGTAATTATTTGCACTTACTCCCTCATCAGCTGTTCTTAACTTGATTGGTGACTGCACAACCATGCAGAGTTTCTCTCACAGCACTTCCACTGTTGAAATGGGATTCACATACAGTATATGTAACTTTCTCTGCTTTGCCAGCGGCATAGTTACTGTATATCGAATTTGACCACTACTAGCCACAACTTGGCCCCTTCATGATCTCTCATGTGAAAATGTGAGGAACCCTTTGGCCCATCGCTTGGTTCTTTCAAAACACGATCAATGAATGGATGAATGCAGACACGGACTATGTCCTCCTTCATGTGAAGCAAAAATGAGACAGGAATAAAACACAAGAAGCGACTTTGATGGCACATATGCACAAATACAATTCAAACACAGGAGCAGGTTCAACTGGAGTTCCAAAATCACAAACTGGAAAAATAACTCCAGCTGTCAAATCTGCAAGATGCTAACCTATTTCCACATTAGCTCTGAGCACATCTTGACTAGTAAACACCGGCTAACAACAACAAATTTACACGACTACTACAACGTGCCCCTCTACTGCAGCCCAGCAGGGAACTAGTAAATAGACTTTAACTTTGAAAGATACTGACTCAAATTTGCTTAGTGGGATAGCTAAAACTAGTGGAGTTCCCAGTTAAAACATTCAGGGTCAGTATGGAGAGTAGGACAAGTGACAACAACCACATATTCTCACTTACACAGGGGTGCATCTACAGTATACTGTTTTAACACAAATTTGAAAATCCTGAACTATTCCTTTAATAAAAAGCACAAAAATAAGTCATTTAGTGTAAAAAGTAATCGGGGGCTGCATTAAAAAACTAATCACATTAAAACAGCTAACAGTGTTGGTGTTTAGCAATTAAGGTGGTAGCAAAAAATAATTCATTGTAGTTTAATGCTATGCTTTATGAGCCAAAATTGCAAATGATGAGAAAAATATTTGCATGGATTAATCTTTGATATGCACTAGCAAAATTTGACCTTGTTGATTTTCATATTAATATTTTATTGACTATGTGTATGTTGTAGCTTGAAAAAGCCTCTCAAGCCATGTTTGACCACCTGGTGGAAGATAATGGTCTGGAGCCAGTGATGAAGCAGTATGGCCTGCAGCTGCCACGTGATCAGGACTTTGTCAATGAGTTAATTGACCCACCTGAAGAAAAATCAGGCAAGGTCAGTCCTGTCCTTATGGACTACATGAAATCAGGTGGCATTATCACTGCAGTAGCCAGTGTCTGATGTAACTTGTGCTGTCATCTCCACAGTGGGAATATAAAGGTCGAGAAGAGAAAAAGTCCTTCCTCTATGAAATTGTGAACAACAAAATAACTGGTATTGATGTGGACAAATTTGACTACTTTGCCAGGTGAGTCTTGCTGAACAGCTACTGTGGTACAGTGACATTTTTAATATAGAGTAATGTATGTCTATGTACACTTGAAGTCATATGTTTACATAAACCTTAGCCAAATACATTTGAACTACGTTTTTCAGAACTCCGGACATTTAATCCTATAAACATTCCCTGTCTTCTGTTAGTTAGGATCACTACTTTATTTTAAGACTGTGAAATGTCAGAATAATAGTATAGAGAAAAATATTTCTTTTATTTCTTTCATCACATTCCCAGTCGATCAGAATACACTTAAATACACTTGGTTTGTATTTGGTAGCATTGCCTGTAATTTGTTTAACTTGGGCCAAACATTTCAGGATGTTGTCTACAAGCTTCTTACAATAATTTGCTGGAATTTGAGCCCATTCCTCCTGACAGAACTGGTGGAACTGAGTCAGGTTTGTAGGCCACCTTGCTTGCTTGCTTGCACGTGCTTTTTCAGTTCTGCCCACAAATTCTCTGTTGGACTGAGGTCAGGACTTTGTCATATTCACTCCAGTACCTTGACTTTGTTGTCCTTAAGCCTTTTTGCCACAACTTTGGAAATCTGCTTGGGGCTATTGTCCATTTGGAAGAACCACGTGTGACTGAGCTTTAACTTCCTGGCTGATGTCTTGAGATGTTGTTTCAATATATCCACATTATCTTCTTTCCTCATGATGCCATCTGTTTTGTGAAGTTCCCCAGTCCCTCCTGCAGCAAAGCACCCCCACAACATGATGCTGCCAGCCTTGTGCTCCACAGTTGGGATGGTGTCCTTTGGCCTGTGAGCCTCCCCCCTTTTTCCTCCAGGCATAATGATGGTCATTATGGTCAAACAGTTCAGTTTTTGTTTCGTCAGACCAGAAAACATTTCACCAAAAAGTCACATCTTTGTCCTCATGTACAGCTGCAAACCGTAGTCTGCCTTTTTATGGAGGTCTTGGAGCATTGGCTTCTTCTTCGCTGAGCAGCCTGTCAGATTATGTTGATATAGGACTTGTTTTACTGTGGATATACAGTGAATATTTTGGTACCTGTTTCCTCCAGTGTTTTCACAAGGTCCTCTGCTGTTGTTCTGTGATTAATTTGTATGTTTCGGACCAAAGTACATTCACCTCTAGGAGACAGAACATGTCTGAGCGGTATGACGGCTGTGTTGTCCCATGGTATTTATACTTGCAAAGTATTGTTTGTACAGATGAACATGATACCTTCAGGCTTTTGGAAATTGCTCCCAAGGATGAACCAGGCTCGTGGAGGTCCACAGGTTTTTTTCCTCAGGTTTTGGCTGATTTTGTTTGATTTTTTCCATGATGTCAAACAAAGAGGTACTGAAATTGAAGGTAGGCCTTAAAATACAGTACATCCACAGCTACACCCCCTATTGACTCAAATGATGTCAGTTAGCCTATCAGAAGCTTCTAAAGCCATGACACCATTTTCTTGAATGTTCCAAATTGAGTGTATGCAAACTTCTGACCCACTGGAATTGTGATATAGTGAATTATAAGTGAAATAATCAATCTGTAAACAACTGTTGGAAAAATTACATGTGTCATGCATAAAGTACATGTACTAACTGGGGCGACTGTGGTTCAGTGGGTAGAGCAGTCGTCTCCCAACTGGGGGGTCAGGTTTCAAATCTTGGTGCCTGCAGTCCACATGTCAAAGTGTCCTTGGGTAAGACACCGAACCTCCAAGTTGCCCCTGATGGTTAGAGCCATTGGTTAAGTGGGCGCCGCAGAGGGCTGCCTCGGCTCTATACCAGAAACAAATTCCTTGTGTGTAACATACTTGGCCAAATAAAGGTGATTATCCTTATTAACTGACTTGTCCCTGGTAGGCTAGTGATTAAGGTGCAGTGGTCTCGCCACGGCACCCCAGGTTCGAATCAGGGTTGCGTCAGGAAGGGCATCCGGCGTAAAACACGTGCCAAATGTCAACATGCGAGTCGTCAGTGTGACCAAGCCAGAAGTGACTTTCTATCCTTATTAACTGACCTGCCAAAACGAGAGTTTGTTAACATGACATAAGCATAAACTTTATTGCCAAGTATTATCAAAAATACACAGAATTTGACTCCAGCCCAATGGCCCCCGATGTGCACAACAATAAAAACAAAATAAATACAAGTTTTAAAAAGCACAAGTTAAAAGAGCAAACATAGACTAGCTGTTCAAGAGTATAATAGCCCAGGGGAAGAAACTGTCTCGGTGTCTGGTTGTAACCTGTAGTGCCGTCTAGAGGGGAGGAGTTCAAAGAGTTTGTGTCCAGGGTGTGAGGGGTCCACAGAAATCCTCTTTACCTTCCTTTTGACCCGTGAGGTGTACAGGTCTTCCATGGAGGGCAGGCTGGCACCGATGATTTTCTCTGTAGTTCTGACTGTCTGTTGGAGTCTGTTCCTGTCCTGTTTGAATTTCCTGAGCTGACACATAAAGTACATCCTCTGCTGTGACTTTTTAATGATGGCGCTGATGTTGGTTGTCCACTTCAAGTCCCGAAAGATTGTGGAGCCCAGGAACTTGTAGGACTCCATGAGTGAAACAGTGCTACTGAGTACAGTGAGCAGAGATAGGGTGGGAAAGCTCCTCCTAAAATCTAATCTGTGGAGTGGTTAAAAAAAATTGTTTTAATGACTTCAGCCTAAGTATCTGTGAACTTCTGACTACAACCGTTTTATTTCCCCTGAATAACATTCTTGTGATTATTTTTACAATAGGCAGCATTCTCTACAGTGTCAGCTTTATCTGCAAATACTATATCTCTTCACTCTGACTCCTCTCAGGGATTGCTACCACTTGGGCGTCAACAGCAACTTTGACTATCGCCGTTTCATCATGTTTGCAAGGGTGTGTGAAGTGGAAGGGAGGAAGCACATCTGCTGTAGAAACAAGGTAGTGACAATAGTGGTTTTTACACTGACATCCTGCACTACTACAGTTCCAAAGGATTGCCAATTGTTGCACTTTTGAAGAAGAAGAAGCTTTCTGTTGGTTTTCAGCAGATTTTATTGTCCTTTTTCCAGCGACACACAACACGTTTATTTTAACCCGTGCATGTTCACCATCACACACACATCTCTTTTTCTACGAGAGGCCTCCACTCCAAAAAACCATGCTCAAAACCAGCGAACGCCATCGAGTGACACAACAGTGCTACTGCATGCCTTTACATGCTTACTTTCGTTACTTTTAGACTAAAACCAAACTAAATATAGGAAGCAAACAAAATAAAGTATTGGGGGGTGTCCATAAAAAAACCTCATCAAGGACATCTACTTTTCCCACACAAAGGCTAAAGTCATCAATCTGGTGCCATAGTCTAATTGATGTTCAACAGAAAAAAGTACAACTTTTTAATACAATATACATTCATGCACCATATACCCCACACTGTAGCCCCCCAATCACTTGATCCATTCTACAGGGCTCTATATGCAGCTCATTACAGTATTTTTGTACATAATTTTAAAAGCAACATGCAAATTATTTCACTTTATGCTAAATTGGTTAGCATGTTTCTTGCTATATGTGCGAATGTCATGAGTAATAACTGTAATAACTGTAATCAACATATTCGTGACATCAGGAATGCTTTGACCTGTAAGTTAGAGAGAAGCTGAGACGTTGGTGATATTGTCGTGCACATATTACATCATCAAAATGCAGCAGTTGGTCCCAGACTGCTGGTTCACCCTCTCGACACAGAGCACCTCTGCCCTTTGTTTTGCCTCTGGTACTACCTCCCAAGGCAAACCAGAGGCAGAACGAAAATGGCTCGCAATTCCAGCTTTGCGCCTTACACACAGAAAATGAGATGGAATAAAGGCGTACCAATCCTGCCTCAAAAAGGCAGTGTGTAAGGGGCTAGTGTTACTCCTGCCTTTTTTAAATCAGATTTTGAATGGCATTCCACTTTATCTGATTAGCTCTGACTAAAATACATGTAATGCTCTCAACAGGTGGTGCAGAATCTGTATGACATGTTCCACACAAGGAACTACATCCACAGAATAGCTTGTGAGCACAAAGTGAACACAATCATACAGCACATGTGAGTACCATCTGACCCCATGTCAGTACTCTACAACATTTAGATTTGTCATCTATTTGATGTAGGTTTACTTTGCTTCATGATTCACTGTCTTCTATGGGATGCAGCAATATGTATTACTATGTTGCATGTCTTTATCCAGGATCAAAGACGCCTTCTTAAAAGCAGATGGGCACTTGAAGATAAAAGGCTCAGGAGGGACGGAGTGGACTCTCTCCGAAGCCAGGCAGAACCGGGAGGCCTACACCAAGTTGACAGGTCTGCCTGGCCATGTGAACAGCTCATCACTGAAGAACTGTAACAATTTTATAATTAGGACCCAGATGCAGACTTGAGACAAGGAAGTCATGGTGCAAAGAACAGGACTTTAATAAGGGTAGCAAAACTGCAGGTAAACAGGGTAACAGGCATGATGGCAGACATGGATTAAGTAGATAGATAGGTAGCATGGATACTGATGGTAACTGGCACTGTTAAGTGATAATGGTAGGAACTAGGCAGAATGAAACATTAGTAAACAACAATAAAAATATAATGGCTGTCTTGAAAAAATACTACAGGAAATAAGCTAAACACATTAATACAGGTAATATGGTTGGCTTAGGAAAGAAACACCACACAGGTAATATTACAGGCTTAGGGAAATAGAACTACAGTATACAAGGAATATAGTTGGCTCAGATACAGGTAATTTAACTGGCTCAGGATAATACAACACTACATGTAACACAAATGATTCAGACACAGGGCAGACAGATAACCATATCCAGAATGCTGCTAGAGTTCACACACAAGTAAGACAGGCAGTAACACAAGGATGGATGACTGGCCAAATCTCTGAGGGAACAAATATCCATATACTCAAAATTCCATACAAATGGAGCAAGCAATGACAGAATCTGTCAGGGAAAGGGGGTCATGGACAGAACTGAAGAGGGCATTTCTCGGTTGACAGTGAGTGAATGTGGGCTGTGGACATAAATACCAAGTGGTTGATTATGCAGATGAGGCAGATGAGTCTGGGCAGAGCAGGGTGGAGCAGGTAATGAAAGCAGGAGAAATGGAACATAGACAAGGGATAGACCTAAAACAGCAGGGACAATATGGGACTGAGATGGGACACAGACTGCTGTAGCTTGGTGAAACTGAACCAGCACAGGACACAAATACTTTTTGGGTTCTTTATTCTGAATATAAAAATTGGTGTTGGTAAAATAAATTGAGGGTTCTACAAATAAAATAAAAACGGCACCAAGCTGTTGGTGAGGCTCACAATCCTTTCGCTTAAACCAGTTTTCTAACAACAGAGGATATTGTCCTCTATGTACATTGACAGTCTTATCTGGTCTTCTACAGTGGTTTATCCTCAGGACAAAAATAAACAAAACTAAATAAACAAGTGCAAAAATAACTGTAGTGGCTCCACTTAACAAAACAAGAGCACACATATTCATAGTTAGCAATATTGCATACACAGTTTCTGTATTAGGTTACACTTAATGCAGAAACTAATATATACTGGTTTTCAAGCGGTCACCTCACACACTGCCCTGTAGCAAGATGCCATGTCTGGTTTCTTTCTATCTCAGTTCAACATGTCTTTCAGCATCAGTTGAGAGACAATGTTAGCAGACAGTACCCCACAATGCAGCAACAGACAAAAGCATAGATTAAACAGTGTGCACACACACACACACACATGTACGGGCCATGGTGGAGCACTGTATAGGCCTGCTGAAGGGCAGATCAAAGATTTTTTTATTGTCAATTCACTATATGTGCAGGACATACAGAAAAATCAAAATACTGTTTCTCTCTCACCTAAAGTTGAATACCCATACCATTTAAGAAACTAAAATAGAATAAAAGTAGAATAAACAGAATATGAAAACTGAATTCAAGTAATAAGGATAACTAGATGGTACAACCTAATAGGCTATGATGAAACTCAAAGCCATGTGCAAACAGTGACAGTAGTGCAAATAATAACAAGAAGATTGTCAGGTGGTCAGCTTCACCAGGGGTGTTGGTGATGGGCTGCATAATAGCTTATGAAATGTACATGGACAGCAGTGCAAATGACCAACAGCAGCAGATATGATGGTAAAAAGAACAAAAAGGGGGAATGCATTGCGTTTGTGCAAACAGCAGGGGTAGTCGATGGATGTGTCTTTGTTGTCAGATTGCATTTCTCCTTCTTGGGTGAGTCCTCCAAACCTTGAATATACTAATACAGTGCCTTGCGAAAGTA